TTTCTTGCCTTATCCCAAGGCTTTTAGAATTGATCTAACAAACCATATAATATGGTGGCTTTCCATTGTGCAGGACGGCCTCTTTTCGATGGCTTTATTTTCGCAAACGCGGAATCAAACGACAGAAATATGTAGAAAATAGACGATAGACACTTGACGAAATACGAAACAAACATAGTGTTAGTCGAATAATATCACACACACACGGTAGCAAGAGAAATCATGTTACTCAAAGACTTTGCACGAGCCCGCAGGTCAAGTGAAATTTGTAGTCTTTGAAAAATTTTCAAGTGCTTATCACGACAAATAGCAAGAGAAACCATGTTACTGCTTTTAATAATGTACATGAAAAAGAACATCAAAGAAGTCAAGACAGACGACTTTTAAAGCGTGCACGCGCTATTTGTAATTTGCATTCCTGTTACAACTTTGCACTCGTATTACATGAGAATGCATTTGTTTTCAGCCAATTAGAAGCGCAAGTAGATTATTATACAGGAAATACTAAGAATGTTCACTATGCCCGCATTGCATCCTGGTTGAGCGAAGACCTTTCATGTGCTCCATAAAACATTCACTGATTTAAGAGAGAAAATGGGAAACAAACAGGAGTGAGAGAAACGAATCAAAGTTTTCATTCGTTACATTCGAAAAACAATGAATTGGTAGGGTTTTGGAACCTTGAACATGTTTGAAATACCTTTGCACCGTCAGTCTTCATGACCAGCGTCCATCCCCCACCACCGCAGTCTCCAAGCTCCCCGCTCATGGAACAGTACACAGACACATCTTTATCGCCTAGCTTGAGGTCATACGCCTTGTTTGGGTTGGCACTAATAAGAGAGTATCAGTGTGTTATGTTCCTTGAATCCTACGCGGTAGTTCTTTGGAATGTCACGCAACGCAAAAAAGAAGCAGCGCAGCGTGACATCGTAAAGAATACGTGCGGAGAAGTTTTTTCTTGGCTTGGCGCTATTGCGGTCAATGGGAATACTACTGAGATAAGCAAAATCAGGGTTAATAGGACGGAGACGTCTTAAAATTTCCAACGGGTGAGGGCTTGTTACATGTGCACCCACACAGGAGCTCAGAGCCGCGCTAGCAGGATATCAGAGAACAAAACCGACAAATCCAGTCTACTTTATATTCTCTTGAATCACTCACACAATTCCTGGTATCGATTAGGAAAAATATAAATCACTAGATAAAATCCGGAACTCTCTGAGACATAATAGTAAATAATTTATTCATCTTTCTTTTCTGAGAACAGTCAATAGTCAGCGCCAGGTTGGAAGGGGAAAGAGAAGGTGGGCGGGGGGGGGAATGTCGGAGAGTTTGGGCGGAACACAGGGTTTTTAAAGGGCAACCGAGGGAGGGGGGTGGTCAGTCTACGCTATCAGAGTATAAAATGGAGGGTCATCAGATAACCACAGAGCCTGAGGGGGCTACAACTTGCATACATTATTCTGCGTTCAAATTTTGCATGCATGTTTTTTTTTTCTTTCTTTCTTTGTCTTTTGTTGTTTTTTTTTTCTAGGTTTTTATAACTTTTTTTTCTCTCGCGCATTTTCTTGTAGAAGGATTTTCACGATATGTTTGTTTGCTACCCACCCTCGCTCAGGCACAAATTTAACGATCGTTCGTTCCTTACCTGTCGTGGTCGTATATTTCTTTGCAGGAACTTCCGGACGGGACGGGCTCTACGGGTTTGAGATGAGAAAGCTATTAGGCAATCAATCATAACTGGATAAATGTAAATATTCCAAACTATGTTAACAATAACTTTTAATCCGACCAAAATTCAGAATCGACGGACCAACAAAGCAGTGACGTTAAAAACAACAGAAACGATCTTCTTCATCTTACTTGGTTCACAGCAGTCCTGTTTCTTGTTAATCAGGTCCTCAAGATCTGACAACTTGTCCAATATTTGGCTGCAAAGTTTTTTTTTCTTGCCAGCAACAGCACCAATTGCGAGATAAACCAGAAAGATGAGTGCACAAAGTTTCATCGCTTTCGTCTTCTCACTCTGTCTTGAATACCACTTGATTTCAGCCAGACTCGACGATAAGTGAGGAAGTTATAACAAACGCCAAATTATATACACATGAATCGCCGCTGACATTTACTACAATTTCACCGTACTCGAGTTTATAGTCAAGCCTTATGCTTTGTTGTACGTAAAGTTAGGTAAGAAATTTATCAAATCTTTCAAGCCAAATAATGATGGCAAACGTAATGCGTGTTTAAGGCCAAAATTAATGTGACACGTGAAATTTCCGTTAAGGCGAGCGTTATTCGTACGTAAAGTTATGTAATTCATTAAATATTTCAAGCCAAATGATAATGGAAAACGCGATGCGTGTTTAGGCCAAAATTAATGCGACTCGTCAAATTTCTTTTAAGACGAGCGTTATTCGTACGTAAATTTATGTCGTAATTCATCAAATCTTTCAAGCTAAACGATGATGGTAAACGTCATGCGTGTTTACGCTAAAATTAATGAGACAGGTGAAATTTCCTTTAAGGCGAGCGTTATTCGTTCGCGAAGTTATGAATCAGCGTGAGGCGTGATTTGCTGCCTGAAATACAAGTGACCCGTGAATTTCTCTTTCATTTCGTGAAAATCTAAATAGCACACGAGTTTTCCTTTTGAATTTGTGACGTGTGAATTTTCTACAATTTGTGCGTGAAAATGATTAATGGCTTTCGGTAAACTAAAGAAATGTAACTTTAATATTTTAAGTGTAGCCAAGGTCATTATGATTTAAAATTCATATGAAGATCACTCCTTCCGTTGAAAAATCACGAGCCTTGCAATTTTCCTATATGAGTTCATTGCAAACTTTTCTTTTTAATGCACTGATTTCGGTTCATTAGCCTCGGATTCTTTTCCCCAAAGCTCTCGAATTCTCAGATCTGCTCTTAAAGCTAAGGTTTTCAGTCAGAAGATAGTTAAGCACGGCTTGACGCTCTCTCAGTTTGTGTCTTGCGGAAGTCTCCGCTCCCCTTAGCAATGTTGTATATCTTCGCACACATGGACCGTGTGCATCGAACCCAAGAAAGAACCGGATATATAGTATTTTACTTCCACTACGAAAAAGCATTTCATTGCTTCAATTTTTTTCAAATTTTTCCATTGCCTTATGTAATAGCATATGATCGCTGTCGTTTGAAAAAATTGGGATATGGAAGCTGATGTATCACAAAAACTAACAGTACGAGTATCTTTTATTTCATTGCAAAACATATTGTTATAAAACGACAACGACATCACCAGTTGAAAGATAAACCAGACCTTTATCAGTGCAAAACTTGCAGTTTCACTGTTTTGACTGACTCTTGCTTTTAATCAGACTACGCGATAACTAGAGAGGCTGTTGAAAACTTCGGCCAAAAGCCAGGTAATGATTTGCCTCATACAAGGCATCACCCGCCTTCAGGCCAGCTTAGCGGATGAAAATGCAAGGGGCTTAACGTCGAGGCTAGTGCCCCGCATGCAGCCTTCAGATGCATCTACTTTTCCGACACCACAGAAAAATTCAACAAGAAATGGCTTGAGGAAATTCTGGTAGTTCAGAGAGTGGCAGAGACATAATGCATAAAAAAATTGAAGCGTTTAATCGCCTCTTTCTAAACTTCCTTTCGAGACTTTCTCAACGAATTCGCTTGCTCCCAGTGAGCAGAATAGCATTTTAAAAAATCACTGCGAATTATCCCGAGGTAAGAGAAGAAACAAGGTGATCACAAGTAAAGTTTAGGGAGACCTCTGGATTAACAATACGGCTCTCCCTCTGGGTTTTCTTTAAACTTCGCCGCAGGACATTGCTAAAATAACAAATGAATAAAGGGGGTAAGTTTCAGTAAAGAAACTGTGGTGCTGCGTCGGTGGGAGAGTATAGCGGGTAATTTAGTGTTAACAACTGAGTTGAAAACGTAAATTGGCTAGAGTTCTTGCGGAGTTGCGGAGTTCTTGACGTGTGATGGATGTGAAGATGAATACGCAAAAACGCAAAGACATAGTCATTAAAGCGGCCCACAAAGGCAACGCAAAACCTTAACTAATTTATTCCTGTTCTCTCGTCTCCATATTCCCACCAATATCCTGTTTCCGTCGTCGCTCCACTTGATCTGCATATAAACCCACACTCTCACAATCACAACCCGCTCGAAACGTCATCTTTTCGCAACCCCCCACTTTTTTTTGACAAAAACCCTTACAGGAGTTCATTTGCCAATGACCAATTTACGCTTTCAACTCAGTTGTTAACACTAAATTACCTGCTATTGTTAAAATAAGATGCGTTACAGAACACCTTTGAAAAAAATATTCAAACCTAGCAGCATGTGCGTCGTTCTAAGGACCTGATCCCGGAATCAAAGTTCAATTCCTGTTCTCTCTACATATTAAATATTCGTTGTCGGTCACCATGTGGATTTGACTGAGTAAACGTCTCAGTTTCTTATTCTGGTTGTCTCTCTTCTTATTACAGACATTATAATATTTTCTGCCTTTTCTTTCCCTTTCCCATAGCACTCATCATATTTCATTTTTCTTTTCTGACTGTCTGATTGGTTATTTTAACCCCATATTTTGCATAAAGTGTTTTCCCTGGGGACTTCTCACGCAAATGAAAATCAAATACTTAGGATATTGAGATTCTAGTCTAAATATTCTTGTTACTTTATCAAATATCAATCCTGTATGAATAGCCACAACGTTAAACTCGCTCAAAAACCTTTTCAGACCTAAGGGCATATTTTCGCCAAACCTAAGGATCCTGACACTAAAGAACAACGAACCAACACTATATAATTCTATTCTGTGCAATGCCTGTGATCACGAGTTTATAGGACAGATCAAACGTCAGTTTGGTACGCGTTTCAAATCTCACTTAGCAACAAAGCAACTCTAAGCCAATCAGACCTCATTCGAATGTTCTTCATTATAGTTACGACGCGTGCGAGCGCTGCTTTTGCTTTTTGAAAGCGAAACAAACATGTGTTTAATTCACTTTTCAACGCATAGTTTTAAAAAATATGGCTACGGATCTCAATCATGGCTAATAAATATTCAGGAAAAAATGGGATTAGAGAAAAAGTCTGGATGATCGAGAAATCCGGATAATCGAGGTTCGACGGTAGCATCAAACCATGTCTGATTGTCCACCTGGTTGCCTTGTGAACTTTAATATAGACTTTATAACACTGCTCGCCTTCTCATTTTTTCCATTTTGTCACAAAAACATGGTTTTTTTTCGTAAGATGTCATAATTTCCTTTTTTTGAATGTCTGATTGGCTATCTCTACTCCATACTTTGTACAATGTGTTTCACTGGCGACTTCCCATGCAATTGAGTAATCAAATTGGATCATGATTGTAAGTCAGTTTTGAGATTCTAGTCTAAACATCATTATTACTCAAAATGCTCGATCAAATATCAAACCTTTTTAGAGCCAACATAAATTTTATTGAAAATAAATTTGCCAAGCAAATGGTATTTCTCATGAAAATTTGAATGTTTACTTACTGTCAGCTGTGGTGTTAAAACAAAATGCTTGGGGAAGAACTTCCCTTTTTGATCATTTAGATAGTGGTTTATTTTATTGCACTCAGACCAAACTTGTTTATTTTAAATTTGTTGGCTTTTGCGACCTAAAAAACATGGCTTATGACCGGAGACGGTCCGTATGGCAGAGTACGGACCAAGTAAGAAACAATCAGAATTCTCGGATTTACGTCAAGACTACCCCGCTATATAATGAATCATAAGCAATTTTACTTATTTCTGCCTCCGGCCCTCTGCTAAGGCCTGGCCCGATTGTTCTCGGCAACGAAAACAAGGCTCTAGTAACCTCGAGCGATTTTTGCCTTTCTGAGCAATTTTTCAGCTACTGTTAGGTTAAGAGCACATATCAAGCACGACAAAGTCAACGATTTCCTAAAAAAGTTCGACCTATGCAATTTCGTAAATGTTTCGCCGGCCCATTGTCCAATATTAGAACGGGTAATCGACAAAGATGGTAAGATAGCTGTCTTTAATAATTAACGTCTATGTGAAAATATCAGGAATTTAGGTGGTCCTTTTGAAATGCGGCCTAGTTCGCCCGGCTTTGAACCGAGAGAAGGGAGTTCGAATCTCCCAAAAACCTTCACGTTTAAAATATACATATACCTTAGAAATTGCTCCAGAATAATACATGGGCGCGCGTAGATATAGAATTTCTCTTCGAGTGTTTAACTCGATAGTTCAAGAGTGAGCGCAGCGAACGAGTGAGATGTCGAGTTGAACACGAGAATAGAAATTCCATATCTACAATCAACCATGTTATCTACCATATCTACAAGCAACCATTTATCATATAAACACAATAGCCCTTTACTGAGAAGAAAAGTCGACTTCATTAGTGAATAAAAATAAATGAATCCATAATCCTCGAATAACAATCGTAGAGTGCGTTGGCGCTTTCTTGCCTAACAAAACATAAAACTGAGAAGGTACGTGAAAAATGTGTTGAATCATGATTACAAAAACAACAAAGGTCATAATTTCCAATTTACAAAATTCTCATTTATTGACTTTGTCCTTAACGACAGAAGAAGTCTTTCAGGTAAACGGCTGAAATCGGCCAGTGGCAAATCTTCCAGTTGTCGATTTTCATTCTCAGCCGAGAGAAATGCTAACACGATACGGATACGGATGTTTTAGTGTTTTAGCCACCATAATCCAAGAAAGCTCCGACAAACAACTTGTATTGAGAATCGTGAAGAATGGTGCAGGGGTATGAGGATAATATCATCCCTACACCAATTTAGTTCAAAGATGATTACAAACCATCCCAAAACCAAGGATAAAGAAGGTGATTGATCAACACCAAGAAGAAAAATAGAGCAAACAAATAAAGTTCTAAAAGGATACACCAAATCATTTGAGGCAATATAAGACACAACAAAACCATGTAAGACATAATTAAGATCCTTCAACACAATTGCAAAACACAGGCAAAGCTACTGAATTTAATCTTAAAAAACAATTAGATGAAATGAAAGGCTTTAAATTT